TCGCAGGTCTGGGGGAGTTTCAGCCCCCACCCCTTCTCCTCCTCTCTCTCTCTCTCTCTCTCTCTCTCTCTCTCTGTGTCTCCCCGCAACGAAATTCAGGCTCTAGTGCTCCGACACTGCAGCAGCCGCGTTCTGCTTTGAAACGTTTCTTTAGTTTGTTATTGCTACGAGCTCTCACGCTAACACGAGAGTTGACTCCTCCCGACACTAAGAAAACAGGAGGGGAGGAGTCAGCTGAGCTCCTGTGAAGCGGGGCACAGAGAAGGAGAGAGACGAAGTAAACAAACAAACAAACAAACAGGAAAATGAAACTTATCTACCTCATTTTTTTACCGACCTCAAAATAACTTATTGTGCAATTAATTGATTTATTGACTATCGCGACAGGCCTAGGTACCAATATCCGGTACCTGGTAATCGGTACCAATTTTCGGTACTTTGTGTGTGTTTTTTTTTATCAAACTTTTATTTTTTAACATATTTCTCAATATATAAAATTAACAAATATCAAGACAACATCCAACTCTTTGTATTGTAACATCAGTTGTGTAACTTATTTCTTTAAGGTGAAAACTGTTGAAAACAACAAGACTGTTTTGTCTTATTGCACAAATTAAAATCCAGCTCCACGTGTTTCTATTGATGTCATTTCCCCACTAGAAAAATTTGTGATGGAGGTCCATGGAAGGCAAATATGTTTAAATCAAATAAACAAAAGAGGATGCAGTTAAAATWAATAAAAGGTATTTAAGCTACGTTTTGAACATCCAGAACACGTCCAACACTTGTTGGCTGCTTGTGCTCTTTAGGTCAGACGTGTTCGGACTGTCGGGAAGTGCTTCTGTTGTTTTTCTCTGCTGGTCTCTGTTTAATGGTGGATGAAATAAAGAAAGTGGCGGTACTTTATTTACTTTGAGCAAGTGAACGTCGTGTTCACAAGATAATTAATCCACCAGATAATTCAGAGTTGGTCTGTTCGGTGAGTTTTACACCAGGAGCTGCGAGGCTTTCAAGCTACGTTCAGACTGAACTCTGTTTACTGAACCAGCAGCTGATGACATCATTACGCTCTTGTGCGATGCTGCGTTCAGGACAAGCATGGAAAACTCACCACTCTTACGCCAACACGGTCGCAATGATGCGTTTAGGTACCGAAACATGGTACCGTTTGATGTTACGTGAATAGGTTCTCGGTAGTATCGACAGAATTCGGTCGGTTCTTATAAAAGTATCGAATTCGGTACCCAACCCTCGTCTCGACTGTAGGAGCTGAAATGAGTTAGTTTAGCCTGAAAGAAAGCAGAGCTGGCGCTCTGTCAGGTGTAACATGAAGGTGTTTGAGTGTCTGAAACAAACAGTTCATCTCTAAAAGCAGCTGAAACCAAAGAAGCAGGAATAATTTAAGATGACAAAGATTTGTTGATGAGCTCTTAGCTACATTTCTAATTTTAGCTTTAGGCTAAGCATTTTTCTACATTTAAAATATAACCAACAGTAGGCTACTTGTAGTTTTTAGTGAGTGTTGTGTTGCTTTTAGCTACTTTAAGCAAATGTTTTGATACTTTTGTCGTTTAGCTGCCGTTCTTTCATGAACATTTTGATGTGTTTACATTTTGGCTAGTATTTTGTTACATTTAGCTTTTAACTAGCAGTTTGCATTTAGCTTTGAGTTAGAATTCTGGTAAATTTAGTTTTTAGCTTGGCTCATAGCTAAATTTAGAGGTTAAGACCAGTGTTTTTGTTGTTGTGTGGTATTTTAACCCTGTGTGTTCTGTGTGTGCGCAGTTTTTCCGCTCTGTTCAGATCACCTGCACAGAGCTGCTGAAGGTCATAGAGAAGTACCAGCACAGAATCACACGTGAGTCAAGACTCTACGCTTGAATTTTGTTTTGAGAAACTTATTTTTGTAAAAATATGAATTTGGAATTTTTTTTTTCTTAGGTTTGTCCCAGGAGGAGAACGAGCTCGGGCTGTTCCTACACTTTCAAGCTGAGCGCGACCGCACAAAGGCGGGCAGCATGATGGACGCCACCAGTAAAGCTCTGTGTGCGTCAGCCAAACAGAGGTCAGAGAAATGTTAGGACTGTGTGATGAGACCAGAAATCATKATGTGTATGAGTCCTGAGTCTTTTGACTCACCTGTACAACACCAACTTAAGACAAACAGTAAGAACGTTTGGGTTTGGTTGATTATTTTCTTTGAGACATTGGGCCTCATGCAAGAACCGTTCGTACGCACAGATTTGTTCTTAAGTTGTGCGTACGAGTGATTTAGGAG